AATGCTACCTGTAAAATGATGGTTTATGAACATCTACACCTACCACAACCCTAAACCCCTTACAGTAATGCAAATACAGTAATTATGTGTTATATTCGCGGTTGTAGCTAGAAGGGATAAAGCTACAGGAAACCAACAACAAATATTTTTTTCTACCTATTAGATTGTGTTTTATTAAAGTCTACACCTAACCCTTACAGTAATGCAGATATACAGTAATGCAAGAAAGGAAAACTTGAAATCGCATCATATGACCCCTTTAATACTACTTTCAGTTGCATCTGGTTCAGGCAAGCAGCTTCTGTATGTAGAGGTCCATTCGGATTCTAGAACTGGAAGCTTTGATTTTAGGCACAGAAACCCACAGTTTTCCAGAGATGATGGAGTGTGCTGCCATTCAAGGCCACAGCCGAGTCTGTGCCAACTAAAAGTCAAGAACTCTCAACTGAATTCATACCACAGAAAGTACAATTCCCAGACTCTTAAGAAATTGAGTATTAATAGTGCTAGTACTATTACTGTCATTAGTATTGGTATTAGTATTGTGATAGTATTGGTATTAAAGTTAAATTTATAAATACAATTAGATAAACTTTAGTGATGTTTTTGACCCAGTTAAGTAAGTACATCTTTATTTGTGATCACAAAATTTGCTATTGTTTTTAAAATGTTTAATGTGTACTGTAGAATGTACTGCCAAGCATTTATAGCAACTAAAATTTAATGTAACTTCTATTGAATCTTTTATGTCATGTATTTAAATGTGTAATTACACATTTGTAATGATGACACTGCAATTAATACATTTATTTCATTAACATGATTGTAAGGATAGTGTAGACTCATAGAGGTACGTGAATCACAGCAGTTTATTAAGGTGGAGCCTTAGGGGAGCGGAGGGGATAGTTAAAAAAAAAAAAACTGATGATTTGAAGTACACTACAAGTGCTCATTCAGTACAAGTAAGCAGTGGCGGTGTTCTGTCGATTTGTGCTACCCTGTCAGATTTTGCTACCTCCCATTAAAACAGTGGGTAGTACAATTCGACAACGAAAAATGCTACCTGTAAAATTATGGTTTATTAACATCTACACCTACCACAACCCTAAACCTACCCTTACAGTAATGCAAATACAGTAATTATGTGTTATATTCGCGGTTGTAGCTAGAAGGGATAAAGCTACAGGAAACCAACAACAAATATTTTTTTCTACCTATTAGATTGTGTTTTATTAAAGTCTACACCTACCCCAACCCTAAACCTACCCTTACAGTAATGCAGATATATTAAATATTGTTGTTCAGCATGAGAAAAAGGACGCAATATTGATGTGCGCATTAATCCCTGGTAGGACAATCTGACGGGTAGGATAAAATGTCAGGACACCGGTCTACCGACATTTGTTATGACATCCGCTTCAAACATTACAATGCTCATGATAACTTTTGTTTACTGTACAATAAGTAAATCTACTCCACCAGCTAATTACCGCAAAAACGTAAGTTCAAAGACAAAATTCTAAAGACGGTGCTTGTTTCTCTGATGCATAAGGTCTATATTGTTAGAGATTTTGTTGAAATTATTATTGTACAACTATAATATAATTATTCAGTGAGACGATTCAGTTTACACACCTTCAAATATTAAATACAAATTATACACTGTAAAACTTTACTGTAAATTTACAGGTATTTTCTAACAGTATTATACTGTATTTTTATTTTATTAAAAATAAACACACCCGATGCATGTACTTTTTTCATCATTTTGAAGAAGCAGAGTTCAAAAACCTTGTATTTTTTGTAGAAATGGTATCTTGCACCGACAAAAGCAATTTTAAGTCAAATTTTAAGGGGTGGGAACAGCATTATGGCACACATCCAGATGCACAGTGTAGAAGAGCATGTTCGTATGCCACTGTGATGAATGGCGGTCTGGGACACTACGGTTAGTTGTATCATACGCAGTAAAGTGATTCTACAAATATCCTATGGTTTCCACTGTAACTGATAACATCCAGTATAGTTATGAAGATAAATGCTGTATTGCAAAAGCCACATGTTTTGCCCATTCTTTCCCTCCTCCATTCCAGATTTCCTTTCTACTTTTCCTCTACTAGCTGACTGAACTGTAATTTCGAGCTCAATATATCATCTGCATTTGCCGGGGACAGCTTTGGCAGTCTGTAAACCCAGCACGCCAGGCTCCTTACAGAGGCGAGTGTCTCTGTGCCTGTGGGCAATTAAAAATATTGCATGCGCATATTAGCAGCAGGGTAATAAAAATCACTCTGAAATGTTTGGTCCCAAAACATACAAACATACTGTGTGGAATTCATCAAAGTTCCCATTCACAGTGATCATGTCAGACTTTGTATAGTACTGAATGCTATTAGAAAACATCTCAATTTGATATTAAGGCTGTAGTTCACCCAAAGATGAAAATTTGCTGAAAATTTACTTACCTCAGGCCATCCAAGATGTAGATGAGTTTGTTTCTTCTTTTAGAATAGAATTTACCAAACAGCTGAGATGGTCCTCACCGCAGAACATTAAATTTAAATTTTTGTTCAGAACACAAGATCCCCCCCCCCGTTTCTTCTTTTTCAATGCTCATCAAACAGCTGATAAAGATATTAAAATAATCCACAGGTAAACGACATGACTCCAGTCTAACAATTAAGATCTTGTTAAGTGAAAAGCTGCATGTTTGTAACAAAACCTTTTTTTTTTTTCTCTCCTTAAACAGTTGCTTCCAGCTAATGAGTCCTTTATCCATAATATTGCTTTGTCCAGTGAAACAGCTTGGTTGGCTTGAGGGTGAGTAAATGTTCAGCAAATTTAAATTTTGCGAAAACTATTCATTTAAATGTCTTCAATACTATAGTATGTGATTATTTTGCTCTGCATTCTTGCTTTTTTATATTTTTGTTTGACATCCTCTGATTCTGGCGTCTTACATTCTAACCATCCACTTACTACTTATAGCCTGTACTGTATGTATTATTTATGCTAAATAGAAGTATGTTTCTATCACTTATGTAAAACCTTTTTTCATGCCATATTTGTAACTATTTATGATGAAATGTGTACCAACAAGCTTTATTTCTGCTTCCATATCTAATGGATCAAATCTTTATCATGCAGACTGCTGAAGAAGGAAGATGCACAGTTTTCGTAAGGGATATACAGTACATTTTGATCATGTAAACATGTTTGATAAAATAGTCTTCAAAAATCAGGCCAGAGCACATCTAAAAAGTAGTTTGCTATAAAAAATAAGTACAAGTATAAGTCACTCTTGATGTCATAATAGAACTGCTTGTTCAGTTTATTTGCATGTTCAACTATCATACACATTCATAAGTCTCTCTGTACTGTAACACACAAACATATGCTTTATACACATTCACAGAAGTATTCATTATAAATACACAGCAAGCTCCATCAATGACCTCTTCTAAGTAGTGCACAAAGATTAAAGTAGCTCATGTGATGAAAAAAAGACGTCAACAAAATCTCAACACACAAAAGTCCATAAAATAACACATTTTAGTTGATTTGAATGTATAAAAATAGCTGTTTAAGCACATTTTAAAGGGGTCATATGATGCGATTTAAATTTTTCCTTTCTCTTTGGAGTGTTACAAGCTCTTGGTGCAAAAAGAAGATCTGTAAAGTTGCAAAGACTAAAGTCTCAAATCCAAAGAGATATTCTTTATAAAAGTTAAGAGTCAACCACGCCTACCTAAAACAGCTCGTTCTAACATGCCCCGAAGCGGAGTCCAGCCCAGGGTCGCCACATGTGGTTGCCGCAAGCCCGCCCTCCGCCGATCACTCAAGCCGGCCTCCGCTCACTCGAGGCTGCTGGCTGCTGCTCACTCTAGAAGCCGGCCTCTGCTCACTCTGGGCCTCCGGCCTCCGCACACTCTAGCCCGCCGTGTGTGACGCTGTTTCGTTGTGAAAGCGAAACTACTTTGTTTGGCCTTCCAAAAGAG